AGGTAATAAGTTTCTTCTTGTTGTGATTTATAGCCTCAAAATATCATGGAAAGTTGCTATGAGTTACAACAACTCTATAGTAGTGTGTTAGAGTTATTTTTAATTGATCACTATTATTTCAATTTTTTCTCGTAACTACTGGCTTCATTTTTTCTTTCCTTTTCTATTTGTTAAAGTTGTCAATTAAGTTAATGGATTTTGTGTGTTTTTTTAAATTTTTTTCTTAAATGTAGTCATTTATTGCTGTGAACTTATTTCTTAGGAAAAAGGGCTTTTTATGTTCAATTTTTGTTACTATTCTTGTTGAGGTTGGAGGTTTTGCTTGTTTACTTTCTTTTCACTGTGCCACAAAAATTTTGGGTTTTGCCAACCAAAGACAAGCAATTTGATTCTACCAGCAACTCCATAGAAGAAAAATAGGTAATAACCTCCTGTGTGCCCTCTAAAATCTCTTGGACAGTTCAACTAAGAGTCAATTCCAACTCAACAGCAATGAACAACAGTAGTTTTGATATGCTGTGTTTTCTTTTTCTCTGATCATAGGAATATTTTATTGCACTTTTGATTTCCTCTAGAATCCAGTAGTTTTTCAATAGCATATTATTTACTTTCTGAGTATTTTCCACTTTTTTTTGTTGTTAACTTCTAGCTGTGTACTATTAAGGCCCCAAAGAATGTTTTGTGTGATTTTAATATTTTTTAAATTTGTTGAGACTTGCTACTTGTGCTAGCATAAAGTCTATTCTTGGAAATTATCAACAATGTGGGCTAGTAAAGAGTATGTGCTGTTTTAATAGTTGATAGAGTGCTTTTTATATGTCCACTAGGACCAATTCGTTGTTAGTTTTAAATACAAGTTCTCAGTACTCTTTGGGAGCATCTTTTTAGAAGTTTTAGATATAAATGAAAGTGGATGTTATATACCATCAAGTCACCTGTGACTCACAGTGGCCCTATGTACAACAACTCAGAAGCCTGCCTCTGTCACTGTATCAACCCATCTCATCTTAGGTCTTCCTCTCCTGCGCTGTCCCTCCACCCTTCCAAGCATAATGTCCTTCTCCAAGCACTGGTCCCTCCTGGTCACATACCCAAAGTATATGAGATGGAGTTTCAAAATCCTAGTCTCAGGGAGAAATTTGATTTCACCCTCTCTAAGAAAGACATATCTGTTTTGTTGGTTGACCATGGTATGTTCAAGACTCTTCTCCAGCACTACAATTCAAAGGCATCAATAAATTAAAATAGAAGGGTTAAAATTCCTAGTATTAGCATTGAGTTGTCTATTTATCCCTTTATATTAGTATATCTTCTTGCTATATCGACTCTTCTGTGTACTGTCCTTGTGTAGTTAAGGGATTATTCAAAATGGCTTTTCTAGCCATTGTTTAACTTTGCCATTTGGATGAGTGGGAATATGTGAATAAGTTATATTAGCCCATCCACAAGGGGACTGGCAATCTCACCAATCCACAAAGAGGACTGCCTAGTTTCACCATTAATTTGAGTGAATCCAGCAGCAGAAGGAAGATCTTCCTCCAGCAGAGAATCAGAGGATGCAATTTGTTCTTCAAGATGTCAGACAGACCAAAAGGGTCAATGGATGCCACAGCCATTGTAGCCACAGTGGAGAATCATGAATAAAACATGAGATGGGACCCTGGGACTGCTATACCATAGGACCATATCTAAGAACCTTTGCCCAAGTTTGTTGTAGGACTGGGGAGGAGAGAGTCATAAATGGCAGGACTAAGAACTTTGTAAAACTAGTTATAGGTATAAGGCTCAAGCCTGAGTCACCTGCAAACATATACTGGAAGTTGTCTTGTCTGTATTCTACTACCAAACTGGATTATAACCTTTTGACTTTCTCAATATGGTTTTGTGAGGTCTGTGAGCTATAGCATCAGATTTTAGACCCTGTAAAGCAAAAATATTGATGCTGAGATGAGACTAAAAAGAGATACAGAAGTATGTGAGACATAGCTCACCTCATAGATATTGCTTTTGTGTTGATCATGTTGTTGACAGGAACAGTTCTCCTTTGTGAATTCAGTAAAGGTCAGATATGGCCACCTCATGTGGCCCTTACTCCTTTTGCAGACCTTCATTACCTCTTGAAATACCATTGTATTAAAGTCTATTTAATTTGGTGACGTTATGATGGAATATTTATTAAACTCATTTATAGAATACTTTTCCCCCATTTTTTAATTTATGTTTATGTCCTATGTCAAAGGTATGTTTCCTGTCAACAGTAAAAGGGTGTATAATCTTGTTATGCTTTTATATTTAACCCATACTCACTCTCTGTCTTTTGAATCAGGCATTTATACCATTTACATTCAAGGTTATTACTTGGTGGGGTGGGATCTTACATCTCACATATTTGGCAATTTGGTTTTTAATGTTTTGTATCTTTGGCTTATAGGATTCTCCCCATCCCCTGTGTTTGTTTTTGGTTACTTTCTTGTGATAAGCATTTTTGCTTTCTTCCTTCTTCTGAGTATTATTCTTGTTGACATCTCAGAGATTACCACATATATTACATTATACTATTTACAATTTTATACTTGTCATAAAAACAAGTTAACATATAACTCTAAAGGTGAATCTATTTCTGATGTCTTCCTACCTACTACTTCTGTGAAAGTAGGATTAACATTTCTATTAATGTCAATACATAAACTATATATTTATTGTATATAGATTAAGGTATTTATATAATTCTTTTAATTTTCCAACTGGAACACCGTCTTGAATATTTTCAAAACTAGCAGAGTAGTGATGAACAGAGCTTCTGTCTGTTTTCCAATGGCTTGATTTATTCTTAAATTTAGATGAAAACTTTATTGAGTAAAGCATTCTTGATTGGTTATTATTCATTCATTGTGTGGTTTTTTTTTTAATCTATATAGCTCTGCAGTTTTCAGTTTCTGGGGCAAAATTCACGTTTTATGGAAAAACCCTTATATTACAGGATATATTTCCTCTTTCAGAAGTCTTCTCTAGTTTTTAGTTTTCGAGAATATTATTAGCTTATTACCCAGAACTGCTTATTTTATGTTGCTAATTGTGATTTGTGTAGGTTGTTGCGCTTGTTAGCCTAGTTCTCTGTTAAGGTCTGGGAAATATTCTCTAATTATCTCTTGGAAAAAGGTTTCTTGGGAAACTGTCATGGTGCTGTGTGATTAGCCAGTCTCAGAAGCTGTTAAGCAATGAGGCTTGGTTTTGTGTGGTGAAGTAGGGGGCCTCTATGTCTTTCTCTGAGTAGTACCAGCACAGCCTCTCCTATATGTCCTTCTATGTCAAAGCCAGTCATTTCCCTCTGTCTTAACTGTTCAGTTGAAGTATTCCCTCTTCCTGTACATCCTTCTTGGTTCTCAGCAAGCTTCATCAGCACTCTTACAAAAAGCACAAGTCTGTATCCTCTGCCATCACCCCAGTTGTATGGCACATGAACTCTCATATAAATTGTGACACATTTGAAAAATCAAGGTACAGTAGCTTCAGTTTGCATTTTTTTGTGTGTTCTCTCTTGGGAGTATTTTCCAACACACATCCATGATGGCTGCCAAGGCCAACTGTCACAGATTTTGATGGGATGACTCTCCCGGTTTCTGTTCCATCTCAATTGTTCTTCTCTGGACTCACTCAAATTCCTCCTCACTTCAGTTGTCATCCAGAGTTTTGAAAGCTCAGTATGTTTCTTTCTACTTTCTGTTCATTGTGTTAGTCACTGGGAAAGTAAACGGAAAAAGCACTTGCTCATTTCATCATTTTTCCCACCTTCTGAGTTCTCCTTTAGAGTTTATCTTATTCCGTCTTGAAGATTTCATGCCCAGGGAGAAAGGCAAACAATGTGATTCTTGGGCCTCAGTAAATAATTCTTGATCGTGGTTTTGAGCATTCTAATCTGACTAAAACTGAAAATTGTTAAGCTGAAAGTTGTCATTTGGTGAACAAAATAGAAATCAGATCAGTGCTGACAGATTTTTGGTTTTTTTCCCCATGGCAGAGTAGTTGTCATCACATATGGAGATGCAATCCACACATGTCCTCATGCAGGCAGAATATCCCAAGATGATTTTAAACATAGTCAATGGTTGCCTGTGTTGTGGTTTCTTTAAGAAATCTGGATAAAATTAATCAATAGTGAAAGCAGAGAATTGATTCCAAGGAAACATGCCAACCTGTGATGATTTTTTATTAGACTAACAACCCACTGGGAGAGCCAGACACATGGTTTTGTCACAGTAGCAGAATAAATAAATCAACAAACAAACTCACCAAGTCCTTAAACAGCATTTGAGCTTCCAGGAAGGGTGAATTTCTCTGTCTGCCTAAACTACTTTTTACACATGATAAATTTTTCAGCCTATTTATTTAAGGCCTTGAAGTTTGTTTGGTATTTTAAAACTCCAGAGAATTCTTCTTGAAGTTTTAAAATAAAATTCAATTATATTTTCCTATTTATACTCTGCAATTTGAGGTGAGAAGGTCCATTTGATATTGCTATGGACCAATTATAGCCTGATGGTTCCAATCTCAGCAAATATGTCATCCTTTAGCTCTTGAAAAGGCATTCTATATTTTCTGCATACTTATTCTAAAGAGCTTCCTTTAGAGAGGTTAGGTGGGGTGGAGTTAGTGAAATGTATTTGTAAACAAAGATTTCAGTCAAAGTTTTAGATAAATCATGGCTACAACTTTGGTGGGTTTCCCCAAAATAAGGGGTCTTCTCCCTCAGCTCATCCTAAACGTGATATTAAGGAAGAAAAATTATTCCTATCTGATATCCTAAAACATCAGGAGTATTAAGTATAAATATGGGTCTATTTGTGTACTTACTGGCTTATCTATTTCAAAAAAGTGTTTAATAGAATAAAGTCCTGCCTTTTCCTGATTGCCAGAACAGAACTGTTAACATTCAAGTGATTCTGTAATCTGATGAAAGTTTAGCTATGTTGAATGTCAGCCACAAGCACGGAGTCACTCACCGTCTCCCCACGCTGTCCAGGGTGCCCTGGGAGTCCATCTTTTCCTGGTGGTCCCTGAAATCACAAATATCAAAAAACACTATTCATTAATATTTCCTAAAAAATTGTACAGCATAAAGGCAATATTTTGAATGAACATCCTATCATATTATCATTGAATAGATACAGTATTTGGTGTCCCACAGATTTTATATAACACACACACATACACCTCATCAGTCTCATTACATCTCATTGCAAAAACCTAAGAAAAATTGTAGACTTTCCTCTATACATTTGAAATTTAAACTTATATATTTAATTTGCAGATATATCTTGTAAAAGTGTAGGCATAATTCCTTGTATTTTCACTTTTGTAAAAGTGAGTTATTTTCTCCTGTGGGTTCTCCTTTTTTTTTTTTTTTTTAATCTGTTCCTAATGCCTCATGCTCTCAGACTTGGAAAACAGAGAAAGATAGTACCCTCTAGTGGCAAAATGAACATCACACAAGGATGTGGAAAAATAAAATGGTGGTACTTTAAATCTTTATTGTTTCAAGTAAAGAAAAAAACAAGTACTGTGTTCACCTGGGAGCTCTAGTGACTAAGAGGTAAAGAGACATGCTAATCAAAAGCGTGTGGTTTGAATCAACCAACTGTTCTAGGGGAGAAAGATAGGTAATCTTGTTCTGTGTGATTTTAAAACTTCAGGGTAACTTGCAAATCAGTTTCTACTTGATGACACATAAAAAGGACAACATGACCAGTCGTAGAATTGTGAGATCTAGTTATTTCCAAGTAAGTTTTCTTAAATATTCTCTTGGAATCACATACTTATGGATGACACTCCTACTTCCAAATTATTTAACTACAGGAAAGCAAATCTACTATGTTATCTGTAATGTATGTAATATTTGTCATATAAACAGTAATAAATGAAGCAATTAAGTTTTAATTAAGTAACTATTTGAGATTACTTTTGAACACTTAGTATAAATAGGCTATTTTTTTCAGACTTAGATTATGTTGTTGTTGTCGTCATTTTTGTCGTTGTTGTTATGTGCCATTGAGTCACCTGTAACTCATAGCCACTCTATGTATAACATGAAGTCTGCCATGCCCTGATCCAGTCTCACTCATCCCGATACACCTACCCCCATTGCCCTGGCTTTAATCATTAGTTTCTGATTATACCGGCTCCTCCTTCTTTCTGTTTCCAAATTTGAGGCCTCAGCCTCAGGTGCTATTATCTGTTATTCTACTCTATGTGTGTTGTACTGTACTTAGGGTTTCCGAAGGCCTGTTATATTTCCGAAGTAGATTGCCATTTCTTCTTCCTAGTCTGTCTTAATCCGATGCTTTAGATTATGCATCTTTTAAATTCCACCAAGTTTCAATCTCAAATATGAAAATATATTTAGGAAGTACATGCAGAAATATTCTCATCTTACTGAACAAAAGGAAACCACTAATCATTTCTAATAATAGCACTTTTATTGCAACAAATATAGCCACCACTACTTAATTATTTAAGAGCACTAATAGTCATATATAAGGAAGCTCTGGTGACCTATTGGCAAGAAGATACAATCTCAAAGGCATGTGGTTAAATTCACTAGCTGCTCCACTAGAGAGGAATGAACAACCTCCTGCCTTGTGTACTATGGCCTCTGAAAACCCACTGGAGAGTCAGCTATAAGTCGGTTCTGACTCAATGGCACACAATAACATCTTCTTTTAAACCAAAATGATGTTTTTTCAACTGATGGCACAAAACATTCTTCGATGTCACTTAATATTAATACACATTACACACCTATTCTCAGACATGAGTTGCACGGTAGCATAAGCTATAGCTCTGCATTCATTTGCATAGTGCAACACAGAAATACCCAGTAAATTACTATCAGACTGCATCTCTGACAAACAATAGTGGTACAGGAGCTAAGCATTCAGCTGTGAACAAAAATGTCAGTGTTTAAAACTCACTAGCTGCTCCAGTAGAGAAAGACATGACACTTGGCTTATAAAAAGATTTACAGTCTTGAAAACCATGGGTCAGTCAAGTCATACCCTACAAAATGCTGAATCAGAATTGTGGTAGTAGTTGGTGCTTTTACATTTTGTGTGTTTGCTTCTAAGAGGGTGTAAATTTGATCTTATTATTCATCCATGTTATCACAGGGAGTTCTGGTGGCATAGTTAGTAGGCAGTAATGCTGCCAATCCAAAGGACATGCATGCCTCTCCGGCAGTTTGAACACACCAGTTGCTCTGCCAGAGGCATACAGGCAATCTCCTTTCATGTGATGGACAGTTTCTGAAAATCTACTGGAGAGACAGCAATGAGTTGATTCTAATTCAACAGCAATAAGTTTGAGAGTTTTTGAGACTTGATCTAGGTTTAATACTTCAAAAGAACAAATAAAAACCAATTTCTGTGCTCTAACATTATCTTGACAAAGATAAAAATAAATGTGGTTTCCTGTTGGGTAACATTGTGCATAATGTGGTTGAGCTGCTAACTGAAAGGTCAACATTTCTAATGGACCAGCCAGGTACTCTGTGGGAGAAAAATAGGTAGTCGCTTTCCATTAAAATTTAAGTCTTTAAAACCCAATAGAAGGTCACCATGAGTCAAAATCAACTTGATTGGACTGGGTTAGGGAAAGATTTGCCTGAAAACCTACTGAATAACATTTAAAGGATAATAAAAATTAATCTGCCTTTCTTTCCATTATACTAAAATGCCTCTCATATTGTATATTTTACCACCAGCACAAACCATTTACAAGTTTTCTAACATTTCTGTAAAGATAAAAGTTAAATATTTCACTATATTTGCTGATGCATGAGATATAGATCAAACTTTGATTGTAAAATCCTTAAAAACACTGGCCTTAGATCAAAGTGATGTTACCCTTGGATTAATGCAACAGGACTTTAATGGCTTTACTTTGATATCTTAGATACTGGTGGTAAGAGACTACATAAAGATTCATATCATCTTTTTTATTTGACAAATATAAATATTTTTAACTTAAAAATTAACCCCAACTAATGTTAATGTTTCTCAACTAACCAATAAAATAAAGCAGATCAATTACCAAAGAATTTTACTGAATTTACTTAAAAAAGAATAACTTTATTGATTAAAAGAGACTGCCCTCTTGATCTAATTTATAAAATGAAAAATATCATCCTGGTTGAGTTGGAACAAATACACAGAGACCTGTCATTGAGTTTTGAAGGCTGTAAATCACATGGGAGGAGATTACCCCACTTTTTCCTGTGGAGCAGCTGGTCAATTGAAAATACCAGAGAAGCATGGCCTTTGGGTAACAGAGCAACTCCCTGCAGACTATGTCATTAGAACTCCCTCTAATGGGTAAAAAGTAGAAGAAACAAAATTATCCAAGTAAGGACATCCATATATGACAGAAAATCTATGCAAACACACTTATGAATGAATGTTAAAGATTTTTTTCACTTCCTACTGGCATTACATTTTACAAGTTTCCAGAAAATATAAAAAAAATTGTAAAGCCTTGATAGTTGTGGAGACCAGTGTAAACCCTACTACCCAGTAAGTTTTATGTTGTGTCACAGATTACTTTTGTGACCAGAATAGCAATGAACTAATCTTAAAATAATATCTTACACAGTTTAATTAATAATGTCCATCAGTCTCTAGTATAAAATATAAAGTATAAAAAAAGACATTTAAGACAATTTCTTAATCTTATCTTACAAATTAAGATTAAAAAAAGAAAGAAAAGACTAAGGTGGATGTTAGAAGAGACTTTGAAGCTCACTTCTAAACACAGAATAGCTAAAGTGAAAGGAGGAAATAAAAGAAAAGACATTTCCCAGGGTGGCTTGAAAAACAAAGTAAAGGATATTGAAATGTGCAGAGGTATAGAGTTGGAAAAATCAAAAGCATTTCTCAAGCTAGGAGAATATTCAAGCCTGAAGTTGCAATGTTAGTGAATTCTCTGGGCAAGATAACGGACAGAACCATCAATGGAAGATGGAAATGATACACACAGTGACTTCATTTTTGAAAAAATGCTTGATTCATAAACTTTAGGTGGTAGCACATGATCAAGAAGGGAACTACACTGTTATCCCAAAGGCATGTGGTTTGAATCCACCAGCTGCCATGCGGAAGGATGGCCATTCACCTCCCGAATGATCAACTGCCCCTGAAAACCCTATGGAGGGTCAGCTATGTGTCAGTTCTGCCTCAGTGTACTCAACAACAACAAGAGTGGTAAGAATCTGTGCTGCAATCTTGAAGGCACACTGTTCAAGTCCAACAGCCGCTCCACAGGAAAAAGATGGTCATTCTCCTCCCGTGCAATTAACTGCCTCTGAAAACCCACCAGATGATCAGCTGATGATTTGATTCTGACTCAATGGTATACAGCAACACAATTACTTCTATAAATAGAATGTATTCCATGGCAGTCATAGTATATATCTTGATCACATTACAGTAGCATTTCCCCTTAAATTGGATGATTATTTACTTCAGAAATAAATCAACAATAAGATAGGATTAACAGACTGAAAATGAGAACACCTTTAAGCCTCAATCTATGTATGTGTATATATATATATATATATATATATATGATTTACATCCAAAAAAATCAATACATATCAGAAGAGAAATTGCTCCACGGAAATACAATTGTCCAGATTATTTTAAGTATGTCACCAGGTAAATGCACTGAGTTGCCTCTGGACAGTCATATACAAATTGATATCCTCTCGGGAGGCACTGAGCATGTTACTAATCTGACCATCAATGGACCTCATTACACACAAATATTCTCTCTCTCTCCCTGTCTCTCTCTCTCTCACACACACACACATACGCACACTTTATCTCTTATTCCTGAAAGAGAACCAATTTGTTTGAAGGAATAACTAGATTTGAAAGACGAATTACTCTTCAGCACCCATTATTTCTTTTTCTATCAAAGAACTGATTAATTTCAAGACACTACATGCAAGTGAATTACAAGAACTATTGTTGTTATTGGTTTGTGCTGTTGATTCAGAACTGACTGAAAGCTGACCCTTAAGTGAGTGTTCAGAGGTAGTAAATCACAACTGTTATAAGAACACTGGATGGTCTTTGTTTTGAAAATTTCTTTTGAGCATGTCTGATGCACGGCACCATATGCATGTCAGCGGAAATGGTACAGCATAGGATTTTCAGCGGCTGGATTTCTCAAAGTAGATACTGGACTTTTCTTCCAAGACATCTCTAAATGGAGTAAAAGTGCCAATACTTTGATTAGTTGCTAACTTGATTAACTGTACCATGCAGGGACTACAAAGGGATTTAGTTAGGAAACGACACTTAAAGAGGCATTTAAGAATGGAAGATGAAGAGAAAATGCTGAAACTAAGCCTTTTCAGTTTGTTAACAAAGAGCTATGGTGGTACAATGGTTATAATGTTTATCTGCTAATCAAAAAGTTGGTTGTTGGAAATCTTCTGCTGCTCCATGTGGGAATGATGTGGCTGGCTGCGCCTGCAAAGATTCACAGCCATGGGAACATGATAGAACAGTACTACACTGTCCAGTAGAGCCACAGTGAGTGGAAATCAATTGGCAAATTGATTGATTGAATTGGCAAATTTGATTGCTCAAATGGCGCTTGACTTACATGGAATAATAGTATAAAGGTTATAAACAATATTTATTATAGTTGCAGTGTGACAGAATAATGTTCATGTAGTTATAGTCCAATGTATTTTGAAAGAAAATTATTTAATTACATTTTGATATAAGTTCAATATTGAAAATATCTCTATATTTGACATTAAGTTTAGCTTATGCCTATAGTGCTTGTATCAACATTTGTAACAAGGAATTATTTTAAAAGTATGATTCAAAATTATGGCAAGAAGAGGTTGAAGAAAATTAGAAACTACGACACTTACAGGAGGGCCTTTTGGTCCAGGGAATCCAACAGGACCTTGTGGTCCTTGAGGGCCCTGAAAATAAACAATAGTGGGGAAATTGTAAGAATATAACTTACTAAATGCTTTGTCATTTATTGCAGGGGGTTTTTTTTAGTAATAAAATACAATACAGCATATATCTTCTGCACAAAACTACAGCAAAATCAAGATTTCCAGTTTTAATATATAAAGAAATAGATGATTTTCACACTGCTGATTATTCAAAATTCTTGAAGGAGACACCATACTTATGTCAAGAACATTAAAAGTAATTTTTCCATTTTTTAATATTGACTAGAAATATTTACAAATGAGAACATTTCATCCCCAGACTCCAAATGAGAAAATTTAATTTTAAAATTAATTTTATAAACATTCTGGTTTAATCATACAGAAATAAAGACAGAGGCATAAAATAATAAAACTATGTTAGAAAAAAGAGAGGGTTTATAACCTTTGTATTTTTTAAATCAATATCTAATTTTACTCAAGTACACATTTATTCTGTATATAAGATGAAGGCATTTTATTATATAATCATTTTCATTACAATCCAGTCTAAATAGATATTTATAATATTACTCTTAGTTTGATGCTTAATTACTGTATTATTCTACTCTAAAATTTACATAATTTTATAAATACAGATATTATTGGCCTTATTACACTGTCTGTCTTAGTGACAGAATAAATGATTGGATTGATCAAAGATGATCCTTTATATAAGGAATAAAATTTATTCTAACAAAAAAAATTATTCTAACAGAAATATATGTGTATGTGTGTAATAGAAAATACTATAAACATTGTTCTTTAAATTATATAATTAGGGTAGTATTTATAAATTTATTAAATACTAATAAGCTTCACTGAAGTTGACTTCAAATAGAATTTATTCAGTTCAACTTATTAATTTAACCCTCACAAAGGTAATTTAAATACTATCCTTTATCCAGAGGATAATTTAAAAAGAGGATAAGTCATTGCTCTTCTTTGAATCTTAGCTTACAATAGAAAAAAAAAAACACCTTCATAACTTGATAAAATATATAGTTAAAGGGAAAAAAGAAAAAAAATCAGTTATTGCAATCAGCTATCAAAAATATAAGAAAAATTTTATAAAACTATTAATTTTGACACTGTCATTATATATGACCCTTGTATATTTAGTAAGATAACATAAATAAGTTCTTTCATTTACCACAGTAAATTACATTTTCTCAAAACTTCATTTCTTATATTTTTAAAATTTTTAGTTTACTTTAAAAACATAGATTAAAACATAAGAGAGTAATTTCTTAAAAGAAATTTTATGTTTTATTTTTAATTTATGTCAGTTTAAGAAAAAAAGTTAAAATAAAGAACACACGTATCTTTCTTTATACAGTTCCATATAAACGTGTTGAAAAGTTCTCTTTGTATTAACCTAAATAATTTTCAGGTAAGACAAAAAGTATATTAAGATTCACTTGTAAAAATAGTTTTGAAGACCACTTCTGGGTTATATGACAAAATATCAGACTAATTTATATCAACTTCCATATATGATGAATATAGTATGTAGCAAATGTAAAAAAATATGCACAAAATATTATTTTTTCTTGAAATTTAACCTTAACTAAGTATCCTATTTAATTATTTTTTTACTATTTGATTTTCTTGCTTTTTTTCAATTTTATTAAATATGATAACCCTAGGCTTAAGTAAAAATCAAAACTCTTAGTAAGAGAGATCCATTATTTGCAAATCATGAACTATCATAATTAACTTTTAGAACAGTATATAAGTAACTTTCTTATTGTTATTTTTGCTAAAAGAAAAATCCACTGAAATGGGCAAGAATAGATTTTTTAATTTCTTATCCACATAATTACAAATTTCTTTCCCTAAGCTAACTCATGTATACTGAAGAACATAGTTTTGTGATGTTCTATCTTTTCTACAACTGTGTGACTAAAAAAAAATTTAAATATTTACAATACTTTTAATCCGCGTCCCTTGGGCCTGTCTTTCATAGTTTTGTTCAGATATTCCTCTAGGTTGTACAGCCCTGGTGTACAAGTTGCCATACTGTGGTCACTTTTGGTTGCTGTGAGGCTGAACACTGGGACACTGATGTGTCAAATATGTTAATGGTTGGCTACCCAGTGCAGACAGAGAGCGGGGTGGAGCTCCCCTATTAAAACAAGCTTGGAAGGGGGAGTGGCATCCACTTGCATAATAGCTTGCCTCCGGAAACCCTATGAACCTGAAGAGAGGATGAAAGGCACCCAAATGTTGAGGACTCTCCTTCATAGTGTCACTAAGAGTCGCCTGCAACTCAACGGACACTTAACAACAACAGCATTATTTGTCAGCCTGAAAACCACATGGCAGAGTTCCACCCTGTCATTTTTGGTTGCTCTCAATTAAAATTGACTAGATGGAAAAGGGCTTGTTTGGGTGATTATTGGTAACTAGTACTGTAGTTTGTGTTGAAGTTATTTTATTCCATTTCAGTATAACTCAGCGATTGGTGGAGCTACCCAATTAAAACAAACTTGGAAGCTGGAGTGGCATCCACTTCAATAATACCTTGCCTCTGGAAACCCTACAAACCCGGAGAAAGAACAAAAGTTATACAGGTGTCCAGGACTTTTGTTCACACGGTCGCTATGAGTTGCCTATGACTCGATGGCACTTAACAACAATAACAATAAGACTATTGGTAAACAATGAGCACATGTTTGAGGAAAATGTCTCACCTAAACAGAACATTCAAAATATATTTGTCCTATAATGGAAATTGAAAACTTTTTAAAATGTTTAATGAAAATAGATCTTTCTAGCTTACTAAAAGCTAAGCAATAAAACTCTACTTTCAGCTTCAAAATATTTTCTCTTTCTTGACATTTACTTGTTTTACCAATAGAAGTATTCATGTATCAGATCGTATGATTATATTTCAAAATAAATTGAATTATAAAATATGTAGTCAATTTACATTTTGTGGTGCTAAGGGTTTATTGTTCAAATGGCTTCCCAAGCCACTGACTTTGACTTTGCCTTATAGGTGGATAGGAATATGTAAATAAGGTGTGTTGGCCTATCTTCAAGGGGAGTGGCTAGTCTCTCCACTAAATTGAACAGATTTAGTAACAGATTTTGCGAAGCTTTCCACCAGCAAAGAAGAAGCATAGCACACAGAGTTTGCCTCCTTTGGGGCTAAAGATTCCTGCACCTCTCAAAGTGAGGTATGCAGGAACAACAAAAGCAGTTGAAGCAAAGAAAGAACCCGAGACCCCATATGAAATGGATCTGACCTTTGGATTGCTACCCTACACAACCAGAACGGAAAGTCCAGAAACATAGCTACAAGTTTTTGCCCAAGTTTGTTGGATGACCATGGAGAAGAGTCATAACTGGCAGAACCAAGAATATTGTAAAACTGACCTAAAACTGTGTTAAAGATGAAGGTTGAGGTGCCTGGAAGTACATTTCAGCAGCTGCCCTGACTGATTGTATTCTGCTATTAACCTGAATTATACCCATTTGAATTCCCTAACATGGTTCCATATGGGCTGTGAGGTATTGCAATGAATTTTGGACCCGGTAGAACAGTAAGACTGGCGTTGGGATGAGTAAAAAGAGGTGTAAGAGACATATTTGACCTCGTGGGAATTGGTTTTGTGTCACAGATGTTGATGGAAACAGCGTTTGTGGAGTTGTTAAATGTTAAAGGTCATATACGGCCATCCCTACATGGCCCTTGCTCTTTTTTACCCATTTACACAATAAGGGGTTGGATAGACACTGTACTTAATTATAGATATATTATTTTGACGATATATTACCGTTCATAAAATTTTAATGAATTATATAAAAATATATATTCTAATCATTTGTGCATTAAGAACAGAACTAGCTGCAATTTGTTAAATAGTTCCACGGCTTGATGATCCAATTATATTATTTCATTTTAACTATATTTTCATTACAGTGATTTTAACAACTGTTTCAAATATATATTATTTATAAGATCAGTACATAAAAGGTATACTCATTTTTAGAATAGTTCATTAAGAGTAAGAAACATGCATTAGATATTTTAATTATTTTTTATGTAGCTTTTGTCATCACTATCTTAAAACTCCTACCAAATGATAGCATGGTAGTAAATAGCTATATGAACTAAAAATTATTATAAAATATGAGTACATTAGTCTAATTTTCAGACAGTAGTAAAGATTTCAGTTGATATTTAAAATTGTTACAAGAAAATAGCTTTACAATATTGGCCTACAAAAATGCTGTATTTTTGCCAAAAAAGTGTGCTTGTTCATCTGTTTTAACTTTATTTTATATCAATTGAAAATCAATTTACTAAATAGTTTTTTCTATTTACTGGAATAGATGTTTTTATCTTGGTTTGAATGTGTATTGATTGCAGTTTAATGGCTACTGGTAGCTTGCATCTCACCAGCATTATGCAGCTGCCTGCTCTTTGACAAAATGAATACCAATGTGGAAAGCAAGGAGAGTGGATAAGAGAGCTAGGATTTTTAATACTTCTTTTTAGTTTTTGTTTTTCGCTTAAGAATTGTGTTTTGTAAAAAAAAAAATAAAAAAGAAGAATTGTGTTTTGTGCCAATTATACCACTATTTCTTTAATTTTTATAATAAATAGTACATAAATACACATCTTCCTCAGAAGTAAAAGAAATACTAATATTTTTTTAACTTTGACTAAGATTTTGTGGTTGATTATATGTATGCATTTAAAGATAGATGTATTTTCCCCATAAACATTTGCAAAATGTTAATTTTTTGTTTTATATTATGTATCTGTATCATACATACCCTTTCACCAGGAGGTCCAGGGGGCCCATCACCACCTGAGGTACCCTAGGAAAAGAAGGGAAAAAAAGAAAGAAAAAAAAATTCATATTTGATTCATTTTCACAGAAGCCTTTATCTTGAAGAAGACACATACAGCACAGTCCAGAATGCAGTAAGTGCCAATAATACCTTTGGACCTGGTTTACCAGTGGGGCCTCTTGCACCTCTTGAGCCACGGGGACCCTGTACATAAGAACAAAAGATAAAAGTGATCGACTGCCAAAAAATAATAAAATAAAATGAATAATTAAATAGAAGAATAAATGTTAATATTTTAAATGAAATGGAATTTTTAAGTCTAAAATGGCCAATGCAAATAATCATTTTCAGTCAAGACACTCACAGTTGGACCACGTTGACCCCGAGGTCCTGGTTTGCCAGCTACACCCTGTCAAAGACAGTTCAAATAGAAGCATGTTAGGGTAACTATGGGTCTGATGTGAAGAGATGGGCACTCAGGCAAGATCATCATATTAGATAGACTAGAACTATATACTTATTATATTTCATACCCTTGCACCTTTCTCTCCATTAGAACCCGGGAACCCGGGAAATCCAGTAGAGCCCTACAATAATAACAATAATAAGAATAAATACAGAGAAATTAAACACTTAGATGGCAAACAATAATTATTTCAAAATTCACTAGCTCTGACACAATTGCTAACATTAAAATAAAAAAATATAATTTTCAGTGTCATGCAATATTTATTCATTTGAAAACAAACTTACCATATCTGAAATCCTGAAAACATTGAAAGCATGAATTGGTAAAATATGATTTAATTTTCAGCTTTAAAAATAAAAAATATGGTAACATCTTCTATTATAAAATGAGAATTAAAACATAAATAAAAACAAACATACTTTTACTTATAATTCTAAAATTTGTTTCAATTTTTTAAAAAAAGTATTTTGCACAACAGCAAATTAAAACAGAAATTTCACCAAATATTTTCTCAGATTTAGTACACTGTATTTGCATTTTTACCACTTTTTCAATTGGCATTTGTATATGAAGATATTATTGTAGAATTTTATACATCTAGTAAAATATTTTATACGTGTATTTTCTTAAATCAATGTGAAAATTATGTTTATTATCATTCACAAAATACACAGTTGAGTATTTAAAAATACTAGAATTTTACCTAATTCATTAAAAAATATATTTAGAAAAAAATTGTATACCTTTAAAACAAGACCAAATAATTTCGATAAAAATCTTTATCTACTTTCTGATTATTGTTTGAAATTAGAAACACCTAATTATAAATTAGAAACACCTAATTATCTAAGCCAAGTAGGCCAGCATTCAACTCCTAGTATGTAAACTCAAAAGATAGAAACTCAAGAGTCACATTTGCTACGTGCAGAGTTTGTCTTTCAAAATTGCTTTTCTAGTGTGGATAACTGACTATGCAGATGAAGGGACTATGTGAATGGGACATGTTGGCCTATCCACTAGAGGACTGACTAGTCTCAACAGTCTACTAAAGGATTGTCTAGTCTCACCAATAAATTGAACAGCTCTAGCTTTAAAAAAAAAGAAAAGAAAAGAAATCTTCCCCCCACCAGAAGGGGAATGAATACTCCTTCACTATTCTATTATAGCACAAAGAGCCAAACAGGGTTCAAATATTTGCTCTTCAAACTACTAGTAGGACAAAATGAGCAAGTGTCTTTTTTACACTGCCAGGTTTGATCACTGTGTGAATCAAATGCAAAAACTGTCAGAATGTCTAACAAAGAGTAGTGGCTGTTAGAATTTTACATACTTCACTAGACATTCCGGTGAATGTCTTATTTGAATTGAAAGCATTCTTTGTATTTCTATGCAGCCACATGTTTTGAACTATTTCTAAAGTAATGCTTCTTCAAGTGATAAATGGCTCCCCTCTCTCAGGATAATCTGGAATGATTCCTGAAAGTGTAGGTGTCAGCTTTTACTCCAGATTTACAGAAAAAGACTTTCTGGCAGTAGGGTTCAAGCAGTTGCATTTTTAATAACTTCTTCGGGTAACATACACTGAAAAATTAAAAAAACTAAAAAAAAAAAAACCAAACAAACCAAAAAACACCCCCCCCAAAAAATGAAAAACAAAACAAAACAAAAATTAAAGGAAAAACGCACAAACAAACACAAACATGAAAACCCTACAACTCAAACTTATTGCTATTGAGTCAGAACAAACTCATAGGTAAGTCTCCAACAGGGTTTCAAAGATTATTAAACGGACAGGCAGAGACTGCTCATCTTCTTTCTGTGGAGTAGATGGTAAATTTGAACCGTTAGAGGGTCCCTGGATTGGCAGAGTAATACTTTATGGATTACTCCTCCAAGGAAAAATTGTAATCTCAGCAATTAATATAATAGATATGGAAGTGTGGTGATGTGTCTGACCTCATGGGGATTGGTTTTGTGGTGTGGAAGCTGAAGACGAGAGACGGTTCCACCTTGTAGAGTTAGTAGAGATCAGATATGGCCATCCCCATGTTACTTTTGCTCTTTTTACAAGCCTAAAATATGCTTTTTGGATATAGTAAAAATAGATCTGGATAGTATGGTGAGTTCAAAAGTTCTTCAAAATATGCAAATGTCTAAATCTCTGTTATTGCAGATTTAATTAGGTTCATGATCTTAAGATGAGGCCAACATGCGTGATCTGAGTAGGCCCTAAATATAATGAAAAGTCTCCTCCTTAAAAGAAACAGAAGAGGAGAGAGAGATAGGGAAGACAATGTGCAACAATGAATGAATATTAAATTCTTTCTCTAAACTCTCATTAAAATCACAATTAAAAATTAATAAAAGAAACAGAAAAGGAGATGACACAGGTTTAAAGAGGAGAGAAAAAATTAACGTTTGAAAGAGAGATTAATATTCAACCACCATCAAAGAATGTCTACAGCTATAGAAGTTCTAGAAGGCAAAGAAGGATCCTACCCTATAGTCTCAAGGTTGTGTTTATTCAATCTTGAAAATACTTTGAATTCAGCCTTGTGGCTTTCAGAACTTTTGAGAAAATAGATTGCTATTTTCTAAAAATATAAAAGTTTGGCAATTTTCAGTCGTCATAGAAAACTAAAAAGACACTAGTAGGAATTAGAGTCACTAAATAGAGCATATGACACAGTTACTGTCTTAAAAATGTCAAGCGATAATTCAAAACTTTTAGGGTACTAAAAAAGGTATCAAAAGCTGCTATCTAATACCTGCCATCTACTTGATAACTTCTTAATAGACTAATTGTAGTGTTAGTTTAAAAGTTGACTTTATTTAGCCTTTACAGTTTGCCACCTCTGGTCTCCAGGTAACTTAGCTGCAGACACATGGTTTCAGAAAAAAGAATGGTCTTGCAAATTGCCAACAATGGTAGGACTAGGATAAGAGAAAGTGTGCTTCCCACAATGGGTAGTAAGATTTCACATGAGCAAGGTTTATGAAGGCAAGACGGGAGAAATACTGGAGCAAGACCCTGACGATGGTGGTAGAGAGACTATGCCATAGCTATGGGGAAACTCTTACAAGGTGTGACCTGATAACTCTTGCATTTGTGCTGGCCACAATTAGTTTATACTGTTATTGTTGGACGCTTCAAGGAGAAGCTGACTTATATTGCTCTGAGATAAACCTTAAAGTATTTAGATTTGACTGCTAAACTGAAACCTGAGCCTGCACTGATTGAGGAATTGTGACTTGGAACTTGGGCTAAAACCTGGACTTGTTTTGGGTTACATTCTTCACCTCCACATTTCTCCAACTTACTTTAATAAACTCCATTCTCAGCATCACCACTGTGAATCTGTGAGTCAACAAAGAATAAACGAACTTCTTGTTGTTGATGTGGCTCTAGAGGCAGCATGGGCTGGGTTATGATGGGCTCTTTATCTGCTTTTTGCTCTAGGGGTCTGAGCGGCTTTGCTATTCTTACTCCCTCTGGCCCTTTCATAGAGATGTTCACAGCTGTGTGCCTTTTTGTTTGGTTTTATCCTCACTAAACACCAATGTTCTTTTTTTTTCTTTTAATTTATTTTATTATTTTTTGTGTGTGTACCATCAAATTGGATCTGACTGGTACAGGAGAAGATTGCTCCTCTTTCTCCAGCAGAGCATCTGGTGGATTCCAACCATGTACCTCTAGGATAGCAGTGTATCTTCTTACCACTAGGCTACTAGAGCTCCCTGACACCATTGTTCTTTGAAATACTCCTTACTTCAACTACAAGGATGTAGTTGACTGTTTTGCCTTTCATTTATGACTCTATCATAAATATTCTCATTGACTAACATCTAGGCTCTCTGATCTTTCTCAACCTTGGGTAACCACATTCTTCTTTGTGAAATTATGTTCTCAATATTTGTTTTCTATAAATGTGAGGCTATATAACTTGTAAAAATCATTAAAAATGAAATTATGAAAAATGATAAATTGTTTTACCTTTGGACCTTGTCTTCCTGGATATCCTGGTAGCCCTGGAACACCAAGCTTCCCCTAAAGTTAAATCATAATAATTAAAACATAAATACGAAAGCTGAAATAGAAGGTTCATTGTAAATATAAATTACTTTTAGTTATTTTTCTGGGTGCTAGAACCATTTATTTTCAGATTCAAAATGAAGATTTTCAAGTTTAAACTAAACTTTGTTTTCATTGTATCTCTTCATCTAATAAGAAAAAAATGTGACATAGACATATTTTCAATGAAATAATATGTCCTCTGCTAAGTCATAACGCCGTATTTAGGGATGTAGAACTCTTTTAGTACCCTCTAACACACAGTTAAAAAAATTATCTAGGCTTTTAAAACATTAAAATACAATTTAATTAACTAATTTGTGGGAGCTACATTTAGTTATCTGTATTCTAACTTTAGTAATTTTTATAAAGACTTTTTTAAAGAAAAACCTACAGAGCAAGCAAGCAATCTTGAATTACTTTTCTCTTAAACTAAGCAAAGCTTAAAAATCTGTAATATGAAATTCTGAACAAAATGTTGGACAAAATTTCTTCTTTTATTTAAATCCAGTAGCTAATACATGCTACTAACTAAATTAATTTCTGGTAGTTGTTAGATATAAAAAAAGAGAGTGAGGGAGTGAGGGAGAGAAATAAAGAAAGGAATTGGTCCCAAGAAACGAACAGGCCTTTATTGTGCGATCTGAGAGGGACGCCAAGTGATCCAGCCGCATGGCATGCAGACAGCATGAAAATCGCGCGTGGGCAATTTGGGGGATTTCCTTTTTATAGGGGTCCTGGGGAGGACAAAGACGGTACTTCTCGGAATTTGGTGTGTTAATTAAGTTAGGTTTTAGCTATTTTTAATCATGGTCAAACTCTTATCAGGATTCAATGTCTGGTCGTCTTTGAGGTGACCTCCTCAGGTGTTAACAAGTTTCTCAGGAAGTGATCAAGCTTGGGATGGTGGGGCAACTGCCATATTATCCCTTCTGTAGTTATAGCTAAATAGTGATAATTTGTAAGGAATGGTAATAACTGCAGATGAATACCTGAAGATGACAATTTTGCTCCAGTGCAATAAAGTAATTGCTCAATTGGAAAACATTAAAGAACATTGTAAATGATAATGAATTGCAGCCATGTATATCACATATCAAGAAGCTTAAAATGCCATCCTAACAAAATTAGTTCCTCAAAATTTATTTCACAACAAAGAATAAACACACACATGCCATAAACTAAAGAAACAAATATACTAATATATGAATAAATTAAATGCGTGTGAAACTTTACTGTGCCACATTTTCTTCAGTTATTTATAACATAGAATTTATTATTTATTAACTTCTTAAACGTTAGCGTGCATATAGTATGTTCTTTGCAAAGCAAATTTAAACTAAATGGGAAAAAGTATAACAGATCAAGATTATTATATGTAACCTTGAAAGTTGAGCAGTACTTTTAAGCAAAATAATTATTCCATTGTGTGAAGCAAAGTAAGAAAATAAGAATATACTTAGTTTGCAACGTTGTCATTATAGATTGAACCAAGGAGCTCTATGATTCAAGATCAACACTGCATAGGTAAGCAGTCTTCAGATAGAAAATATGCAAACAAGCCCTCAGAAGCATACGCATAATGATGTCCCCTTGGATGCATTATATTATCATAGCTTGCTTTATGCTATCAATTTCAAGGTTAATGAAATCTCCTAATTATGATCACAAAGTTATTTTTTGCTTTATGTTAATTACTACATTAGAATGTATAATTCTTTTTTAGGGTTCTTTTAAACAAATTCAGATAGAAAACATATTTGTATTTTCAATACAGTGGCATGCAACATAAAAAATAGTAGGACAATTCAAAAGATAAAAAATTTAGAGTTGACTTTTAACTTCAGAAGCCTCTGTGAGGTCATTTATGCAAAACAGAACACATAAGAAGTGACAAAATTTCAGAACAATGTCAAGTGCTGACAATTCTGTCTAAGGGTCATGCAAGGCTCTGTTATCCAGTATCTTTTCAAAGATCAAACACCAGGACAGAACACCATGTGGGGTTAAGAATGATTTTGCCTTAAGGACCTTGACCTTTGCTCCTGGGCTGGGAAGTTGAGAGAGGGCTTGGGAAGCCCTCAAGTAGTTTATCTATGTTGGCCAAGGCTGAAGAATTGCACTGAAGTGTATATAGTCGGCCTGGAATTCACCTGCCAACCAATAAATGTTGCTGTTGTTGTTAAGTGCCATCGATTCACTTGGGACTCATAGCGACACTATGTACAACAGCCCTAAACTCTGCTCTGTCCTGTGCCAGTCTCACTGTCTCCGATACACTCATCCCAATTACCCCCATCACTGAATCAATCCACCTCATAGAGGGCCTTCCCCTCCCTACCCTACCAAGCATGACAAGGACCAGTGCCTCCTTACAACATGTCCAAAGTATGTCAGACACAGCCTCAGAATCCTTGCCTCCAGGAAGCTGCCTGGTTTAACCCTTTCCAGGATGAATCTGTTTGTTTTTTCCTAGCAGTCCATGGTACCCTCAATACTCTTCATCAGCACCACAACTCAAAGGCATCAACTGTCCTTCTATCCTCCTTAGTTACTGTCCAACTCTCTGATGCATAAAAAGTGATAGCAAAGACCATGGCCTGTATCAGATGCACCTTAGTCTCCAAAGAGACCCCACTGCTCTTCAGTACTTTGGAGAGGTCTCTAATAGCAGACTTGCCCATTGCAATAAGTCTTTTGCAATGAGAACCAATAAATACTCATGATAAAAGGCAGAAACACCAAATTGATGAAGCTTTTCAGAAAGATAATGCTAGGGAGTTCTGGTGGCCGAGAGGCAAGAAGCTGAACTGCAATCCCAGAGGTGCATGGTTTGAATCCACCTGGAACAGCACATCAACAGAGAACTACCAGAAGTCCAGGCTGGGTTTAGAAGGGGTCATGGTACTAGGGATATTGTAGCTGAGATTAGATGGATCTTGGCTGAAAGCAGGGAATACCAGAAGAATGTCTATCTGTCTTTCATTGACTAAGCAAAGGCATTTGTGTAGATCATAACAAACT